GTTGGTGTGCCGCTCTGCCGGCTATGTTGCCGTCGTCGCCGCCCCCTCGCCGCGTCGTCGCCGCCCGTCGTCTCGGCCGGTGTGCCGCTCTGGCGGCTATGTGGCCGCCGTCGCTGTCCTGTCGCCGCGCTCTGGCCGCTATGCTGCCGCTGCCGGCGCCCCGTCGCCGCCTCGTCGCCGCCACATGGGTTGCACCAGCTAGATTGCACAACATAGATTGCATTACAGATGTTGCACCACGTAGATTCTCCTTTCTAAAAAAATGTTCTACCACCCTCCCCCCCCTTGCTTAACGATTCACCTTGTCGTAATGCAGTGTACATACGATTCTGACCCAATGTCCGTCCTACCTGTGAACTCGTACTATCCCAGCTAGGCCGGTGAAAAAAAACTAGGCGCGCACACTCGCTTATCAAAAATCATACGTTTTGAAAAACCTTTGGAAACAATAGGACGAAATGCACACGCGCAAGTCGTCGCGCGCGCATGCCGAAATCCTTCAAAAACCTTCGGTTTCGTAACGAATTCAAAACCGAATGTCCAAAACACATACAAAAAAAACACAGGGTTTCGCAACACGGATGTTCAAAAAAAGCGTGCGCGCGCGATTTTCCGAATCCTCGAGAAACCGAAAGGTTTTCAACATCTTCAGAACATACTATCAAACGGGCTTCGCGCGCGCATGTCGAAATCGTTCGAACGCCCTTGCGTGCGTGCCGTCGCGAGAATCCTTTGCAGAAAATGGGACGAGGTGCACACGCGCGCGTCGTCGCGCGAGCATGCCGAAATCCTTCAAAAACCTTCGGCTTCGTAGCGAGCCCCTGGACGCCCACGATAGCCTCCAGGCTGCCTCCGAAGCTGCCAAGACGCCCCAAAAGGCCCCCAAGATGCGCCCCAAGAGGGCCCCAAGAAACAACAATCGTCCCATTCCCTTCGGAAAAAATTGCACCTGGGAGACCCCCAATCAGTGAATGATGTGTAAATTGATACTATGGATCTTGAGATCGATTGTGATATCGATAATGAGATCGATAGTGGAATCGATAGTGAGGACGATTGTAAGGTCGATCGTGAGACCGAGAGTGAAATCTATTCAATGAGATCGATAGTGAGATCGATCACGAGATCGCTCATGCGATCTCTAGTGAGATCGCTTGTGATATTGATAATAAGATCGATGGTGAGATCGAGCGAGAAATCGCTAATGAGATCGATGGTGAGACCGACCGATAAGAAGATCGACCAAGAAATCGAGAACCCGGGAACCTCGCCGCCCTCCGAAATCGGCCCGGAACCCGGAACCAAAAGCCCCAGAACCCGGAACCGGGAACCTGGGAACCCGGGAACCCAGCGTGTCACCAAAATCGGCGAGGTACTTTCGCCAAATCCTTCAACATCCGCGAGGACCCCTTCAGTGCAAGCACTGATTGGGGTACAAGCATTTTTCGCATGCTCGCCTATCCGTTTTTCACAACGTCCCAGACGGACCAAGAAACCTTCAATATCGCCCCCAAACGGCCAAAGGGGCCCCCAGGAAGGGTCGAAGAGGGTCCAACAACAGCCCACGAAGCCACCAAGGCAGCCCAAAAGGGCCCCCAAACGGCTCCAAGATGGAATCCGGAGGGCACCATTTTCGAGCCTTCGGCCCCAATACGCCCCCAGCCTGCCCCAAGAACAGCCCAAGAGGCCCTGAGGGACCCCCCAAGAGAACCTGAAAGACCTCCGAAAAAAAACCCTGAGAAGCCGTCAAGAGGCCCCAAAACTTGGCCCAAGGTGCCTCGACGCGGCCGGATATGGCCTGCAGGCAGGCCAGGACGCCACCAAAAGAGCACCAAGAGGTACGATAACAGCAACGAAGCAACAAGAACGATGTCGAGCGCCGTGTCATGGTTCAGACAAGCCTCGTGAAATACAGTCCTGGAGGCGCAATAGTTTATATAGTGGTCGGCGAATGTGGCGTAAGCCTATAGAGTCCTTCAAAAACCTTCGGTTTCGCAGCGATTGCATAACCGAATGCCCACAACACCTTGTATATTGTTAAACAACAGAAAAGATAGGGAACAAACAAAAAAAAAAACATCCGTTGTTAGGAAAGCGTGCGCTCGCGCTCTTGTGAATTCTCAAGACACCCATAGTTTGTTCAACATGCCCATGGAATTCTGCCAAATAGACCTCTCGCGCCGCATGCCGACGTCATTCGCACGCCTTGGCGCGCGTGCTGGGGGGGGGGACGCGATCCGTCTCAAATAATACCACGCGGGCCACTCTCGCGCGTCGGCCGCGCGCGCACGTCGAACTCATTCCAAAACGTTTACCGCCGACGCGAAGGCGCCGTCATCGTCGTCGGCATGATCAGCATCTGCGCCGTCACTGGCCGTGGTCGTCGCTGTCAACATCGTCACTAACATCACTACTATCATCACCGTGTGTACCGTTGTCGACATTGCCATGATACCGCGCCCGCCCAAGTCGCCGATTCGCACTGAAGTGCCCGCTGGGATGTGCCCAGCGGTCAGCGCCACCGCGGCTGCGTCGGTCGCGCCGAAATGCATGCGCGCGCGAACATGCGCGGGCGAGCGCGGCCGCAGAGATGCACCAGCCAGCGCCAAGCACTCATCGCAATCGCAGCCGCATGGGGGTTGCAAATCAAGTTGCGGGTGGGTGGGCGGGATGTTTGCGCGAGCAGTGGAGTAGACAATTTCAAGTTGAGCATTGATCAATTGCACCACACAGACTATACTTCATATCACAAGAACAGATTATACCCCCCCCCCCCCGGGATTAACGATCCACCTGATCGTAGTGCAAGTTACACGCGAATGTGCCCCCCCGTCCATCCGAAATATGGGTTCGTACCATGCCAACCGATATCGACCCCCCGCCATGCTCTGCAACAAATACTATGCGCGCACCCTCGTTTATCAAATATCATCCGTGTCCAAGGACCCCTGCCAAAAGCACGGTACAAGCTGCACACGCGCGCGTCGTCGCGCGCATGCCAAAATCCTTGAATAAACCAAGTTCGAGTGCCACGAAAACACATAAAAAACACTTGGTTCCGCAAAAAGACGTCTCGAACACCAAAAACTGTGCGCCCGCGCTCCTGGGAATTCTTACGAAAACCATGAGTCCTTCGACATGTTCACGTAATGCATCCAAGTTTGCTTCTCGCGCGCGCGTCGAAATCGTGCGAACGCCGTCGCGCGCGCGTCGCAAGAATCCGTGGCCCAAAACAGAGACGAAGTGCACACGCGCGCGTCGTCGCGCGCGCATGCTGCAATCCGCGAAAAGCCTCCGGCTTCGTAGTAGCAACGCACGGTTTCACAACATCAATTTCCAGAGGAAAACCTGCGCTCGCGCTCACGCGGTTTTTTATAAGAATATATGACATGGATTTCACAACACGTTCATCACATTCTGCCAAGAGGGCCTCTCGCGCCGCATGTCGAATTCATTCGAACGCCCTTACGCGCGTGCTGGGGGGGGGGCACGACCCGTCTCAAATAACACCATGCGGGCCAATCGAACGCGTCGGCCGCGCGCGCATGTCGAATTCCGCCAAAAACCTTCGTCACCGACGCATCGAGATCGTCATCGCTATCGGCGAGCGTGATCAACATCGGCGCCGCCATTGGCATTGCCGTCGTCATCGCCACCTTCGTTACCATCGCTGCTCTCATAATCGTGTCCACCGTTGTCGGCGTCGCCATGAGACCGCGCCCCCAAAACTCACCGACTCGCACTGAAGTGCCCGCTGGGAAGTGCCCAGCGGTCAGCGCCACCGCGGCCGCGTCGGCCGCGCCGGTTTAGCTGGCCGCTGTGCGCGCGGGTATGAACCAAATTGCGGGTGGGTGGGTGGCATGTTTGCAAGGCCATGGAATGTGTCAACACGGTTGAAAAAAACAATGGCACCACATAGACCTCACCACATATATTGCACATCGTAAAATGCACAACATCTATTGCACATCCTAGACTGCCAAACTTATGGTGTATCACATACATAGCTTCACACAGAGAGCACCACATATTTGGCTAGGAACACACTGTTTGGGGTCCACACTTGCTAGCATATCTATATTGATATATACGTCCGTACATGTACACATGCACAAATGTGTATATGTGCACATACACATGTATATACATGCAGCGCCATCTATGAGGTGGAAACGCGCGTGCCACCCAGGGCCAGTTGGTGGGAAGGCATGCGAAGCCACGGGAAGCAGAGCAGCCTCGGGAGAGTGCAACACACAGGGCCAGCGCGGCGGAAGCAACTGGAAACCACAGGAATCCAGGCGGTCAGCGGAAACTGCGACACACAGAAACAAAATGGGGGGAAGCTATGGGAAGCACTGGAAAGCCAAGCGGCCACCAGCAAGTGGCACACAAAGGGCCTACGCGTCCTGAGGGGGGTTAAGCCATCAGAACACACAAGGAAGCCACAGGAATCGAAGCTGCACCAGAGTGTGCAGGACACTGATTGAAGGGGGTGGGGCGAGGCCACAAGAGGCCAGATGAATGCATCGGAAGGTGCAGCACGCAGGGCCGGCACTCTCAGAAGCAAGGTGAGATCGTCTCAGTGCAAGCACCGCGTGGGGGACACACCTAAACTGCGGACCCAAACCCGAACAACAAATATAGATTGCCCGCGTAGAGGCAACCAAACACTTCTCAAAACTTCCGGAGTCTTCAGGAGTTGTGCGAGGATAAGCCCCAAATATGATTTCCGACTGGGAGAACTTGATGCTCGGCAATGGGGCGAGAAACAAACGTATGGCAAGTTCTGGCTGGCCGCTGTCTACTCGCATTCGCCCCAGCGTTTGACAAACGTCTCAGCAGCCACCAATGAGCCTAAAGCAAAGCTGGGTAAATCTTCTCTACAAAACCCAGGACCTCGAGCAATTCCGTAGCGTCATCCTCACTTGCACAGCGAATTCGCAGATCACGCAGAGCCTGCGGTGAACTCCTATGAGCACCTTGCTCTTTCCAAAGGAGTCCTTTCGCCCAATCAGCCACGCCACCTAAAACGCCTGTGCTGGCTGGGCTGGCCGTGTCTGAGGTCTTCCGAAGTTTGAGATGCAGCACCCGCGGCTGGTTCGAAACCCCGATGGCAACGGGTCCTGCGCACGCGCGGGGCAAGTAGATGCTCTGACTCGGCGTGCTCTGCAGAGGGGGGCCACTCACCGTCTCGGCGGTCGTGCCCCACACATGGAGCCAGAGATCCACAGAAACCAGTATGTGTGATGAGATCCACTCGTCAGCGGAATCCTCATGGGCCGCATCCGCGGCCTGGTAACACACGTCGACGGCCAGCTGATGCATCACGAGCGGCGCAGCCTCCATTGACAGGATCGCAGTGGGGCTCTCGTCGTCGTCCCCCTCGTCCTCACCTGGGCCATGATCCGAAGGCTCCGCGTGGCCAGCGCCGTCGCCGTCTCCAAGGACGATCTCTGGGACGCTGTCTGGAGTCGCGTCCAAGGAGGCCGAGATTGCCTGACCCAACACGTTGTCCACCAGCACCTGCAGCTGAGCCAGGTGCAGCTCCTTGCGGTGCAGGCGAGACTGAGCTGCAGAGTGGGCGTCCTGGAGGGCCTGACACGCAGCCAAGTATCTGGTCACGGCCAGCCACGCGCAGGTGCCCTCTGGCACTTCCCCCCCCCGCAAGTGACCCTTGAGCGGATCGTCGAGCAAGGGGGGCGCCTCCGGCCACACGTGCGCTCGAGCCTCCTGCTCGGCGCCGCGAGACGCCTCTGCGTCCTCGGTCGCCAGCCTCACGGTGCGGCGGATGTCCCCCTCGGCGCGCGCGTGGCGCTCCAGGAAAGCCCGCAGTTCGGACGCGAGCCTGGCGGACCGCTCCGCCGTGCGCTGGAGGACCGCGAGCCGCCGCACCGCCTCCGGGGCTGCCGGCGCGGCCGCCGACGAGAGCTCCGGGCGCGCCGGGGGCGGGGCGCCGAGGTCCGCGAGGTAGGCGCTGTCCGCAGCGGAGCGCTCTGCCAGGTACTTGGCGGTGGCCTGCAGCGCCTGTCCCTGCGGGGCGGCAAAAGGGCTGGACGAGGAAGCCCATCCCCACCCCCAGGGGGGAAGCCCTGGCCCCGCTGGGCAATCTGCCCCCCCACAGGCCCTTCCCGAGGTGGCGATGGGGGTACCGTCTCCCTCAGGTTTCGGAGCACCCACTCCCACCTAGAGGGTTACGCTGGGAGGGCCCACGTACCCTGCCCCGGTGGGGGGCGGAGATGGCTCCGACGACGATGAAGAGGGGGCACTGCCTCAGGGGAAGGAGTTTGGAGGCTACTGATGGGAGGTCTTCGCGCGAACGACTAGGGGCTAATGAGCCCGATTCGGGGGACCGAAAGCCGGATTAGCCCACATGAAAACCAGGGTAAAGCCGACTAACCCATAAGAGCGACTACACGGAATTCAGCGGGACTATACCAGCCTGTGCCAGATGTCGACCACGGAGATGCCATCGCCGATTCTGAATTCAACCTCCCAGGAGTTGCTCAGTGAAGGGAGCAGGCAGCATCAAATAGCGAAGCTGAATTTGGACAGAACGCGCGTCGACTCTGGCCGAATCGGCACGGGGCCGGGCATCCGACCGCATCGGCCGCGCACGGATGCACACTGTGCACCGTGCAAGCATCGGGCCGCATCGGATCGCCAGGGCATCGGAATCGAATCGGCTCGGGCCGCCGAACCGATGTCGAATCTGATCTGTCGGACAGACGTGGACCCTGCAGGGGGCGAGCGGGACCCTCGAGGCGGAATCGGCAATGCACCGACGATGGGTCGGCGATTTGCCGCCCGACAGCGAAGGGCCCACGCGCGCTCACAGGCGGGAACGGAGCACCCAGGCCCCGATCTGCGATGAATGGGCGACTGGAGGTCCATGCTCTCCCCCATCGGGCAGGAAAGAAACATGGACCAACGCCATCGAGAACCCATGGCCAGGGGGGAGGGGAGGGCAACCCGTCGGGTTTCTTGGGGTCGGCTGCACGCAAGAGTGACCCGGGGCAAGAGTGGCCCGTGATGCGCAGCTCTGTGGGGGTCGCGAGGGGGCCAAGCCCAGGGGCGCAGGCCGCGCTGCCATCGCATCGCACTCGGCGATCGGGGGTGGGCCCCGGTGGGCCCGCATCAAAGGTCACTCTGGCAAAAGGTCGCTCTTACGTGCAGTCGATTGGTGGCGGTGGTCGATGTTGAGTGGCAACGATAGGGGGGGGTGGGACTGGCATAGGGGGGGGGGGGGGGGGGGGGGGGGGGGGGAAATCGACCTGGAATCGGCGATGCATCGCCGATAGATCGGCGATAGGCCCCCGATAGTGAACCCGCACCTTCCTGGGCAGGTTGGGGCCATCGGGCCCCTATCGGCGATCAATGAGCGATTGGGGGTCGATGCATCCCTCCTGTGCACATCCCCCCCAATCGTTGCCCCCGAGATGTGTGCTCCTCTGGTTTGGGCCAGCCAGACCCGGCCCGAGGTCTCTGGAGGGCTCCAGGACTGAGGTCCACGGCCTCACGAGAAGCGCCTCTACCAGCGAGGCACTCGAGTACGCGCGCCCAGGGAGGGCATCGAACAGGCCAGGACTGCTGAGCCAATGCCCAGGACCGTTCAGTACACGCCAGTCCTAAGGGTCGGGGAGGTTTTTCCCCTCCCTCGACAGAAGGTCATGGAGGTCCCCAAGAGCCTCTGGAGTTCCACAAGAGCCTCCGAAATTCATCCTTGGAGGCGCGCGTCCGACCCGAGAATATAGTATACCCATCTCGTAGTAGATCGTTTCCCGAGCGGTGTGGCCAGAAAGCGCCCGCCACGACGCACGTACTGCAAGATTTCTCGGTGCGCGCGTCGCCCCTGGGGGGCGACGCACACAGTATTAGTATGTTGGGGTGACGCCGGCAGGATGTCTCCTGAGTTCCCCGGAGGCCTCTGGAGGACCCTGGAGGCCCCTGGAGGCCTCTGCGAGGCCACCTGGGTGCCTCCAGATGCTCCAGAGCGGCCAAGGGTATTCACGGGCAGCGATGCTCCGCGAGGCGGTCGAGGGCCGCGAGGAGGTCGGAGTCGATCGCCACCCCTCGAGTAGGGGATCGACTACAGAATCGCTTTGCCTCGGAATTGGCTTCTCCTGCCGAGTCTACGAGGCAAGAGCCGCGGATTCGGCAGGGAGAATGAATCTTAGGGCAAAGCAATCCTGTAGTCGATCCCCTGCTCGAGCCCCCGAGCATCAGGGGGGGGCCCTTCCGCAGGTCGCCCTTCCGCAGACCGCCCTGGGGCGGGCCTCTTCAAAGACTCGCAGACCGCCGACGTCCCCGCCGCCCCCCTCACTCTCATCCGCCACGGCGGGGTGCTGCAGATTTTCTGCATGCTCGTCTTCCCCTCCACGTCCCATGCTTTCCAAATCTTTTCAGGCGATCGACGATCATGTATGCCTGCGCGCTCTTTTCCGTTGGAGGGCCGTTCTGGGGAAACCGCAAGACACCGATACCGCTGCTCCCCGGACCTCTCCCGGGGCGCGTTCTGACCAGCATCTCGAGGCGAATCCGGCGGTGACGACGAGGGCCTCCCAGGAGGTCGAAAAAGAGGAACACGGGCGAAAAGTAAGCTCCTCCTTCTTCTCCTCCTCCTCCTCCTCCTCCTCTTCTTCCTCCGCCTCTTCCGCCTCCTCCTCCTCCTCCTCCTCCTCCTCCCTCCCTCCCTCCCCTCCCTCCCTCCCTCCTCCCTCCTCCTCCTCCTCCTCCTCCTCCTCCTCCTCCTCCTCCTCCTCCTCATAAGGGCAAGGGGTACCTCTTCCTCCTCTGAAGTTCGAGGATCGACTCTGCAGGGCGGGGGCCCTCGAACACAGCCCGCGAGGGGAGCGCCTGCGCCGACAGCCCCGCGCGGATGCGCCCCGCCGCCGCGCCGACCTCCCCCGCGCGCCGCGCGGCGTGGGCCCGCCACGCGCCGTCCGCCTCGATGGCCAGCACGCGGAGGAACAGCCCCTGTCTCGGGTGCTGAAAAACTGAGCCGTTTCGCGGGGTGGAGGGCTCAGGGTGAAATCCACATGGGCGTTTGCACCTCGGAGATCCACTCGTTGTGTGATCCACCCTTTGCAGACTCAAGCCTCGAAAATCCATCGAAGCAGCATTTCAGAGTTCACCCTTTGCCCTCCACCCAAAGAAAGTGATCGGGACATACAGTAGTGCGCCGCCAGAATGTGACCATATCCACTGCTAATGGGTCGTGTTCCGAGGACTCGGGGACTCGGGGAGGGAGTGGGACATACAAATACTAGATGTCCTCCTTGGAGGCGCGCGTCCGACCCGAACATATAGTACACCCATCGTGTAGTATACCGTTTCCCGAGCGGTGTGGCCAGAAAGAGCCCGCCACGACGCATATACTATGAGATTTCTCGGTGCGCACGTCGCCCCTGGGGGGCAACGCACACATAGTATCAGCATGCTGGGGTGACGCCGACCATTCTCGGGTGCTGACATGCAGGAGTGCGCCGCCAAAATGTGACCATGTCCACTGCTGCCGGGTCGTGTTCCGAGGACTCGGGGAGCGGAGGATATGCATTTATAGGCCCGCCAACGCGGGCGGGCAGGTATCCATATCCACCGCTCCTCGAGATTCCAGGGCACGACTCCGAAGCGGTGGATGTGCACAGATTCTGGCGGTGGAAGTAGGGGCTCGACCACCAAGCCCTGAGACCCCAGGACGTCCACTGATTTTTGGGTGTGGGAGCGTCACGCTGTCCATAACAAGACCATCGAAGCTCACGAAGCCCAGGGCACCCTGGAGACACGCAGGGTGTTTCTCTCGGCATGGGTCTCCACTGTAGGTCGAGGGGCCCAGGGACACACCAATGAAGAGCCACAGAGCCCGGGATCCCCCATCTTTCCCCACATGTTCTGGATGTTCGTCTCCCCCATCCACATCCCATATGTTCCATATTTCCCTGGGGATCGACGATTCATTGTGTCTCTTAGCATTGTGATTATTCTTAGTATTACCATTAGTACTATTAGTATCATTATGAGTACGTATGCTTATTATACTTAGCATTGTAATTATTATTCTTATTCGATGGCAGAAGTGTCCCTTGCCAGAAGTGCCCCCAGGACCTCCGAGGAGGCCCCCACGGCCTCCAGAGCACCTCATCACGAGGCCCAGAGGGCCCCAGGGGTTGCAAAACGCGGCGTGAAGCTGGGGGCACCCTGGACCAGGGACATCATTCTGGACGACCGAAATGGGTACGGAAAAAATGGGTACGAAGCCCAGCGACACATGTTGTCCAAAACTGACAGCGGCCGCTGTTGGGCAGGCGGCCCTGTCTCAAATGGACAAAGACCGCGGCCTCGCCAACAGCGAACCCTGTTCAGAATGAACGTGAACTGCTGTTGGACTTGTGAGCGTTTTCTTGTTCGGTGTTTCGACATTGGGCGGAAGGGGTGGGAGGGGTCTGGCTCCGGAACTCAGCTTAATGCGACTGTTTGTAACAACGTGTCCGATGGGGAGGGACTCCACCTGCTCGAAGCGGGCGCCAAAAATAGCCAAGATCTACTCCACGACGGGGGGGAGGGAAGGGGGGGGGGTGGGAGGGGGCCCGCGCCGATCGGCAAAACAATGAGTAAAAAAACGATCACCTGTTGGACGTTGTACCCGTTGTTCCCGTGCCCATGTCGATCGCGCCGAACCTTGGGCAACCCCCGACCTTCGCCTCGCCCAGCGCCTCCCGCCTGTCGTCCACGGTGTGCCGGCGCCCGAGGGGCAGAGGCCGCAAAGAGACGGCACACACGGCGCAGAGTCAGCGCCCAACGGGACGCGGTCCAAGCCCACCCCAGGTTCCTCCTCCTCCTACTCTCTCCTCCTCCTCCTCCTCCTCCTCCTCCTCCTCCTCCTCCTCCTCCTCCTCCTCTCCTCCTCCTCCTCCTCCTCTCCTCCTCCTCCTCTCCTCCTCCTCCTCCTCCTCCTCCTCCTCCTCCTCCTCCTCCTCCTCCTCCTCCTCCTCCTCCTCCTCCTCCTCCTCCTCCTCCTCCTCCTCCTCCTCCTCCTCCTCCTCCTCCTCCTCCTCCTCCTCCTCCTCCTCCTCCTCCTCCTCCTCCTCCTCCTCCTCCTCCTCCTCCTCCTCCTCCTCCTCCCTCCTCCTTCCTCCTCCTCCTCCCTCCTCCGCCTCCTCCTCCTCCTCCTCCTCCTCTCTCTCCTCCTCCTCCTCCTCCTCCTCCTCCTCCTCCTCCTCCTCCTCCTCCCTCCGCCTCCTCCTCCTCCTCCTCCTCCTCCTCCCTCCCTCTCTCTCCTCCTCCTCCTCCTCCTCCTCCTCCTCCTCCTCCTCCTCCTCCTCTCCTCCTCCTCCTCCTCCTCCTCCTCCTCCTCCTCCTCCTCCTCCTCCCAAACGGACGCGGTACATGCCCACCTGGTCTGCGGGCGCGCCCCCGACGAGCCTTGCGGAGCGCTGGGCGCGGGACGCTTCCTGCCAAGAAGGACAATATTATCGGGTTGGGGGGATGGGGATGGGGAGGATACGGGGCGCGACTGTGTAATAAGCACGCTCGACATACGCGATGATGCGGATGCTCTGCTCGTCTCTCCCAACCCCATCCTTCCAGCCCGACAATTGTCTTTCCGACTTGCCCTCGGGGGGGCGGGGGAGGTGTCTTCGGCCGAGCGCTTCGCGAGGTCCTCTCGGGAGCGCGTCCCCGGGTCGGTGTAGAGATACGGATGAGCCCCCAGCGCGGAGCAGGCGTAGGCTTAATCGCCTGGATTTCTCGGATCTCCGCTGGAGCCCCCCCCCACCCCTCACTGCCAGGGACGACGCCCGAGGCACCGCCAGGGGGGTCGTGGGGAAGGGCTGACTTGCCACAACCGGAGGAGCTGCGTTCTTGACCCAGGCCCTGGGAGGGGCCCACCATGTCAGCGATCTCTCGAGGAGGGTGTCGAAGCCGATGGTTCCAAGGGGATACGGAGCACAGCTCCCCCATTTGCGGCTGGTCTGAAAGGAAACCATCGCTGAACCGGTCACATCCGTGCAGACCTCCGAAAGTAGAAGAAGAAAGAAAGGCATGCGGAGCGCCAAAAGTTCATGTTTCTAGGCGTTCTTTCTACCTCGAGAAGGGTCATATTTTTTAATGCCGCTGTTTGGTCCTCTGGATGAGCTCCCATGCCGAGCTCTTTCGCCGGCTCAGGGATCCGACCTCGGTGCTCTTCCACGGGCCGAGGATCCTTGAGGGCGGCCAAGGGGGGCGTCCAAGAGTGGGGGGCAGATCATGGCCGGCGGCATGTGCGCGGCCCGGGGGGGGGGCCAGGAAACGCATCGAGATAAGAAGGAGCGCCATGAAACCTCGGGAGGTATCATGGCGCCCGTCATGATATCCACCTCCCCTGGTCATCACCCCCCTCTTGTCGGGCGTTGGCAGAACTGGGTTTAGTGGAACCTGGTTTAGTGATTTGCACCGGGGGCGCCCCCCCGCCCCATCTCCACTAGACGGAACTGCCGTCACCCGAAAAACAACAGTGACGGCAGACCTGGTTTAGTCAATCTTGCCAATTCAGGGGCCCCAGGGCCCTACCACTAACTGGGTCCCCTTACCCGGGGTCCTGGCTATACCCGATCCTGGCGCCCTCTCGAGAACCGAAAACGGACAATTCACAAATCGACGTGTCAGGGTAGGAGGTCCATCCACCTCCGAATATCCACCTCCCCTGGTCATCACCCCCCTCTTGGCCCCCCCCGATGATCCTGGTCTGGCCGCCCTCCTCGCGGTAGTCCGTCGGCAGGCGGCGGCGGCGCGGCCGGGCCGGGCTCGCCTGGCCCAGGCCCTCCAGCGCGCCGGCCAGGCCCGCGAGGCCCGCCGTCGGGGAAGCTCGGGGGCGGCGAAGAGCTCCTCCTCCTCCTCCTCCTCCTCCTCCTCCTCCTCCTCCTCCTCCTCCTCCTCCTCCTCCTCCTCCTCCTCCTCCTCCTCCTCCTCCTCCTCCTCCTCCTCCTCCTGGCATCCAATCGGCGGTGGACAAACCTCCCATTAGTAAACCACCCTTTAGTGGAAAAACGGCCCAGGGCCGCAACCGACGGAGCTGGACCCGCGAGAACGACGGCCGCAACGCCCTCGCGTGAGCCGAAAACGGCCAATTCGCGAATCGACGTGTCAAGGTAGGAAGTCCATCAACCTCCGATCCAGGAGGGGGGGGGGGCGCAAGTCATGGCCGGCGGCATGTGCGCGGCCCAGGGTGGGCCCGGGGACGTACTGAAACAGGAAGAGGCGCTATGAGATCTCGGGAGATACCACGGCCCCCGCCATGAGATCCGCCCCCCCTCCTAGTCATCACCCCCCTCTTGGCCGCCCCCGAGAAGCCCGCGCACCCCTCTCGCGGGCCTCCTCCGGGAATTGGTCGAGGCTCCCTTTCCCTGGCGTGCCGATGGTTCCGCTGAGGCCCGCCAGTGGCTGGGCCACCATCGCACTCCCGTCTCGCGAGGACCCCAACCCAATGTTTGTTCACCGGTAGGGACGGGAGAGGCCTGCAGACCGAGGCATGCTCGCGGGAGACTTGACCAAAGACAGCTGTAGAGGTGAAGCCGGTGAGCGTGCAAGTATGCGCGGCGGTGCGCTGGTGCGTGGTGAAGTCAGTGCATAGGTGCGTTGGTGGGCGAGGGTGGGTGAGAGTGGGTGAGGGTGGGTGAATGCCAACGCGTGCGGGGTGCGGGTGGGTACGGGTGACCCCGAGACGGGTGATGGAGTGCGTCCCCCTACCAGAATTTCGAAGCGAATCCAGCCGTGGCGACATGGGGGCGCCCAGGGGCTCAAAAAACATGCAAAAATCTCGAGGCTCGATCTTCGGATCTCGATCCTCGAACGACGGCAGCGACGCCGCCGTCGTCCATCGTCAACGTCGCCGTCGTTGTGCGGCGCCGAGGGGAGCCTCCGTCGACGCTGGCGGCGTCATGCGGCTCGAGAGGTCGCCGGTCATGCGGGGGGTGTGCCCGCCCGAGGCCGGCTCCTGGGGCTCGTCCTGTCGGAGAATCGGCGACGTCGACGCCGACGACGACGACCACCACCACCGCGAGAGCGACGACGAAAACGACGACGAAAACGACGACGACGACGACGACGACGACGACGCTGATGGCTGCGACGGCGGCTGGCGCTCCTGCCCCGTCTCGGGCGCCGGAACCCCACGGAGGATCGGTCCTTCTCGGAAGTGTCAGGCTCAGAGGCGCGGGGTTGAGAGCTCTGGTCGTGGATTGCTCGCGGTGTCGCAAGCCACTGGCGCCACGAAGTGATCGCGATCGCCAGCTGCTTCCAGCTCTCGGGTGCGAGCCACGAGCCGTCAAGACTTACAACCTGGAGGCAACAGCACCGAAACAGCAGAACGACATACTTCAAGAGAAGCTGGAACTGTGCTGCCCGCACGCGAGACCATACGGGAGTCCACACACGAATGCAGGCAGGATGCCATGCGCGAGAATGCACGGAAGACCATGCGCGAGACCACGCAGGAGATTATATGCGAGGTACCGCCCGGGAGGCCAGACGAGAGAGACCGATCGGGAGACCATGCGGGGGGCCACGGGCCACGAGCCGCCGACTCCGGAGCCGACGGGCTCACGCCCGGCCCTGGAAGCCGTCACTGGAGTGATGTCGGGCGTGCCCCCCTTGCAGGGGGATTTTCGACGCAAAATTAAGAAAACTCCAAAGATACTCCAAGAAGATCCAAACATACTCAAAAAATAATCCCTGGACTATTTCTGGACTATCTTTTGACTATTTTGGGGGTATTTTCTATTTTTCGTCGAAAATCCCCCTGTAGGGAGACAGGCCCGACATAACACTACAGAGGTACCTCACAGACAAGCTGCTCAGGGATCTGTCTGGGACGAGGAACCATTCCTGGGGAGGTGGTCGAGGGCTCGGGGGGCACGCGCCGCGAAGCAAAAAATGAGCGTGACGCCAGACGCAGGGGACGTGTCCTGAAGTTTGCGCGCCGTCGGAACCCTGCAGGCGACGACGACGACGACGACGACGACGACGACGACGACGACGACGACGACGACGACGACGACAACGGGGCCTACGACGAGGAGAAAGGCGGGCCGGCTCCAGGGGATCTGACAGCGGAGGACCCCCTGACCTCTGGCCGCCGCGAGCGGGGGCGGGGGAAGGGGAAGACTGGCGCTGTTCTTGCCGGCCCCTCGGCGCCCTGGGGGGGGCCGCCCTCAGGCCCTGGCAGAGCCTTGGGGCTGCACACGGACAGCCGCCCAAGGAGACACCCAGACCTCCGACGACGCGCTCCACGTGCAACGTGGACCCGAAATCTTAGCGCGACGAGATCTATACATATCCCCTGCTCCCTGGCCAGGCCCAGCCCGAACCCAGCAGCGGTGTATAGTGTATACGCCACGCGCTCCTGGCTTGGCCAGGAGGGCGTATGCGCAGCTCCCGACCCCAGGAAGGGCCCGGCAAGGGGGCAGTGGACGTGTATAGGGGTTCGTCGCCGAATAATATTTCCCCCAGGCCTGGCCCTTCGTCCCAGAACGCTCTGTGACGGTCCAGGGGCCCGGTCGGGTTCAACAGAGGCCTTGCGTCATGGGCCTCTCCGCAGCACGGGAAAGTTCGGAGGTGTCCAAGAGGTGGGGGCGTCAGAGAGAGAGGGGGGGGAGGGCGCGAATCTTGGCCAGCGGCACGTGCGCGGCACAGGGCGGGGGGAGGGCCGAGGACGCATTGAAATGAGAAGGGGCGCCATGAGATCTGGGGACATCATGGCCCCGGCCCCAGCAATGACAGGGTCGCAATCGCAGATAATCCCCAGATGATCCCCAGATGCTATCGCAGAACTGAAGGGAATATCATGTCCCCAACCATGATATCCACCCCCCTAAGTCATCACCCCTCTCTCGGCCGCCCCCGAAAAATGAGGGGGGGGGGCTTCCCAAGGGTCATTGTGTCTGTGCTTTTCCCCTCCTGTAACCCTGTAAGAACATAAAACCCTCCGCCGGCCCAAACTGAAGACCATTCGAGGGTGCCCTCCCCCAGGATGCGCAATCCCATCACACGAGCACGAAGAACATCAGGGCACTCTCCCCCAACCGACCTCGATCTTATACCTCGGTTCGACCGCATCTTCATCATCCCTCCTCCCGCCGTTTCCCTCACCTCCTCCTGCTCCGCCCACGTCGAGCCGACACAACAGGACTCTCCTGGAGCGAGGTCTGGCAAAGATTCCAGCCGTGCCGGCAAGGCCCCCCAGGAGGCCCGATATCCTCCCGACATCATCCCTCTCCTCCTCTTCCTCATCCTTCTGCTCCACCTTACCCTCCTCCGACTCTTCATGATCCTCTTTTTCCTCCTCCTCTTCCTTCTCTTCCTCCTCCTCCTCATCCTCATCATCATCACCATCACAACCACCATCATCATCACCACCACCACCACAAACGTCATCATCATCATCATCGTCACAACTATCCCCACCACCACAATCAGCATCATCACCACCACCATCATCAAAAACAGCACCATCACCTCATCATCATTGGCAGCATCGTCGACAGCAGAAGCATCTTCCTCTTCTTCATTATCATCTAAATCATCACCTCTCATCGTGATCCACCGCGGCCCCCTCACCCTTCTCGCCACCACCACCGTCGTCGCAATCGCAATACTCAAAGCGTCATCCCTCATCAGCATCTGTCGAGGCCCCCTTGCCCTCATTGTTGCCACCACCGTCGTCGTAATTGAGAAAACCGCGGCCTTCGTGTTGATGAGCAGCGGCAGCAGCACCATCATCATCATCAACATCATCGTCATCATCATCATCATCATCATCATCAGCATCATCATTATCATCAGTACCATCATCATCACCACCATCATCATAAGCAGCATTGTCATCAGCGCGACTGCAAGAATCATCATCATCATCATCAGCATCATCGTCATCATCGTCATCAGCTTCATCTTCATCATCATCTTCATCATCAGCAGCAGCATGATTATCATCGTCGCCATAGCCACCATCATCATAAGCAGCAGCGTCATGATCATTGCCATCATCGCCACCACAGCCATCGACACAGCCATCATCAACAACTTTGCCAGCATCGTCACACCCATAATCATCAGCATCAGCATCACCATCAAAAAAATCGTCATCCTAGGCGTCACCATCGTCATCACCACTCCCAAACAATGCTTGCACTTGGGGTCTCTTACTTGCGTTCTAGGGTAACTGGTCTCTGGTGGCGGTCCGGCCGGCTCGTCACCGCCCGCCGCCGCCCGTCGCCGCCGTCGCCGCTGGGCCCCAGTGACGGTTTCGGCCCTGCTGGTCGCTGCCTGTCGCAGCTTCGCTTTCCACTGCACCGCTGAGCCCCAGTGGCGATCCGGCCAGGTCGTCGCCGCCCGACACCGCGCTGTTTTGCATTGCTTTGCATTGCTGCGCTTTGCTTTGCCATGCTTTGCATTGCTTTGCCTTGCTTTGCCTTGCTTTGCATTGCTTCGCATTGCTTCGCATTGCTTTACACTGCTTTGCACTGATTTGCACTGGTTTGTATATTGTTTTTCTCTGATCTGCTCTGCTCTGCACTGCTTTGCATTGCTTTGCCCTGTTCTGCGTTGCTTTGCATTGCATCGCATTGCATTGCATTGCATTGCATCGCATTGGTTGGCATTGGTTCTCCTTTCTAAAGAGAGAATGATAGACTCTACCCCCCCCCGGCGTTATCGGTCCCCCTTTCGGGTATGTAAATCATAAATGATTCTGACCACATGTCCATCCTAAATATGAAATCACAATGTCCCAGGCCAGAGGTTCCATTCTAAAAAACACTATGCGGTGACATTTCCCTTTTTCACGAATCCCTTGCAAAAAACGGGACGAAGTGCACACGCGCGCGTCGTCGCGCGCGCATGCCGAAATCCTTCAAAAACCTTCGGTGCCGGAAGGATTTCACAATCGAGTTTCCAAAAAACATACGAAAACACATGGTTTCGTAACACTGATTTGCTAAAAAAGCTTACGCGCGAGCTCTTGCGAAATCTTAAGAAAACCATTATTTTTCAATATTTTCACAACATGCTACCAAACGGGCGTCGCGCGCGCGCATGTCGAAATCTGTCGAACGCCCTTGCGCGTGTGCCGTCGCGAGAATCCTCTGCAAAAAAAGGGACGAAATGCAGACGAGCGCGTCGTCGCGCGCGTACGCCGCAATCCTTCAAAACCCATCGGTTTCGGAAGGATTTCAAAATCGCGCGTCCAAAAAACCTACAAAACACAAGGTTTCGCAACACGGATTTTCAACAAAAGCGTGCGCGCGCGCTCTTGCGGCGTCGTCGTCGTCGTCGTCGTCGTCGTCGCCGTCCTCCCTCCTCCCGCGTCGTCGTCGTCGTCGCCTACGTCGTCCTGTGTCTTTCCTCGTGTTCGTCGTCGTCGTCCTCTTTGGCGTCGTGGTCGTTTCCGTCGTCGTTGTCGCCGTGGTCGTCCTTCCTCCTCCTCCCTCGTCGTCGTCGTCGTCGTCCGTCGTCGGCGTCTCGTCGTCGTCCCTCCTATTTCGTCGCCGTCGTCGTCGTTGTCGTCGTCGTCGTCGTCGTCGTCGTCGTCGTCGTCTTCCCTCCTCCCTCGTCGTTGTCGTCGTCGGCGTCGCCGTCCTTCCTCCTTCTTCGTGGTTCGCGTCGTCGCCGTCCTCCCTCCTCCCTCGTCGTTGTCGTCGTTGTCGTCGTTGTCGCCGTCGTCGTCCTTCCTCCTCCCTCGTCGTCGTCTTCGTTGGCGTCGTCGTCGTCTTCGTCGTCGTCGGCGTCGGTGTCGTTGTCGTCGTCGAAGTCGTCGGAGACGTCGTCGGTGTCGTCGTAGTCGTTGTCGTCGGTGTCGTCGTAGTCGGTCTTAAGAGGTTTTGCAAACCAAGTTGCGGGTGGGTGGGATGTTTGCAGGAGCGTGGGATGTGTCAAATCATGGGTAAAAACCACTTCGCACCACTTAGAGTCCACCACATGGATTGCACCACCCAGATTGCACCACATTGA